TGGGCACAACCTCCGCTGATGTACTGCACAATCTGACCCTGCAACTGTGTAAGCATAAGGCTCCTGAGGGGTGCAAAGCTTGCGTAGCCCCCGAATGGTAGTGACCAGTCATCTCCTGGAAGACCCAGGTCAACGGCCTCCCTTAGTTTCTTCTCTCTGGAAAGGGTCCAGCAACGAGGCCCACGGGATGGAAGGCTCGTGGGAAACTGGGCATATCGGCCGCCCAGAGTCGGCCAACGTCGTTTGGCCTCCTGAAACAGTGTGGACGCGAGAAATTCACAAAGGCCTGAGGGAAGCAAATGAGGCCTAGCGGGGCCCAACGGGTCACCTAAGGAGGGGCTGCTCTGGGCCCCATGTCCCTGGATATGGTTGCAAAGGGGTCCGTCCTGCATCGAGTCGAGGCGCGGGGGAAAAGGACGGGGTGTGGACGGCCAACAAGGAGGTAGGATGACAAGCACTGGCACCAAATCTGCACACATGGAGAGAGCGCAGGCACACATGGGGCTGAGCAGAGAGCGCACGTACTTCTTGCAGCGCCAATGCGCTGGGGGGGGGGGCAGGGATCCGAAGACTCTGAGCAGGTTGCACAAGGATGGCAGGTACTTGGTGAATCCAAGCTTCATGCAGGAAGGACAGAGCCGTGCGAAAGAGCTGATTCGCTGCCGAAGCCTTCTTATTTTCTCTGTCGCTCAGGTGTCCAATCCCCCAAAAAAGCCCCCGCGAGCGCTGTGGCCTGTTCCCCGGATTGGTCCAGTTCTTGCTAGGGGGACCATGATGTCCTCAGCTACTCGCCCTGAGCGAAGCATCCCTAACCAGAGAGATCTGGCTAGGTCAGACTGTAGGTCCCCTAAGGACCCATCACGGGCTAGGTCGATGCAAAGAACATGCAGGTTGTAAGAGTGGGCTCTCGTGAGAGCCTCCAGGTGACCTTGCAAATCTCCATCCCCACGAGGCCCAGAAAACAGATGGAGCACATATACATGATGGCGCTCGTGGGCATTCGGGGGGGGAAGCCACTGGGACCTCTCGTCAACTGGGGGCGGGGCAGCCATGAGGAGAACACGGGCCTCTCGGAGCTCCATGCGGGTGCACTTGTTGCGGGGGGCAATGGGGGGGGCCCTGGCATTGAACCCAAGGCTGTTGTGCATAGGTGTCTGATCTCCCACTGGCCCTGTTGCGCGCCGCCCCGAGCCTGGCGCTCCCACGCGCTTCCTGCAACTCATCATGGCAAGGCCTGAAAACGCTGGCTGTCCAAGAGCGCCAACACGATGGGGTGTTCGATAGGTGCTGAAGAAGCCTGCTGGTCTGTCCAACATCGCGGAGACAAATCTGACAACAACCATTGGTGGCATGAGATGCAGGATCATTGATGGACCTGTTAGCCTTTCCAGCATGCACCGCAAGGAGCCGAGCTGACGTGGCAACGTGTCCACTCCGAATGCACATGAACCTGGGGTCTGCAGGGGGAGGGTCAGCTAATTGGGGTCCTATCGGCTGGTTTGTCCAGGGCACGCTTCCAAACTTGAAGATGGGCCTTGTCCTGAAAGTGGGGTCTCGCATGCGAAATAGCGGCTTGGACCTTGGCCAGAAATTGACGCGGGTGTCCTTTCGCATGCTCAACCCATTGTTGGGCTTCCTCGGGCCCTGGAAGATGGTGTCCCCTGCGTGCAAGTGGAGCCACTTGAAATCCTCCCTCAGTAAAGTCCACCACCCCTCCTGGTCTTGACTGGCCAGATCGATCAGCGCGCGGGGAGGGGGGGGCTCTATGCAGCACTCGAACAAGGAGCGACGTCGAGCAATCGTATATAACAATGACATGGTCGGGAAATCTGCCAGCAAGTCGATATATCTCGGCACTGGTGTGCTGAACCTCAGCGTTGTTGGAGACGGGCAGGTTCAAGGCAGACCTGTAAGCACTGAGGTGAGCGGGTGGCGACAGGACGGGCCTGGGGCGGCAATGGGCGTGTCCAGGTGGCAGAACCAAACAAATTAGACCGACGAGCTTAACGCCTCTGCTAACAGGACCCTTGTCCTGGGATGTAGGTACTTCCGGGGGGCCACGGTGGCCTTGATAGGCTTCAGTGCAGCAGGGGCTTTGGCACACCTGGGAACAATATCGGTCCCTGTGAGCCTTGCATGCCAATGGGCACCCCAAGAACCTTCTGGGTACGAACAACTGCAAACGAACACCCCCACTTGGTAGACTGGGCACTGGCAAATTTGCCGACAGGAAGGATCGAGGGTACCTTGCGGCCCCAGGACCGCGGAAGGATGCAAGAACATTGGTCTTGAGAGGGCTGGGGGGGGTGGGGGGTGGTAAAGCCAGACCTACATGCAGCAGAGTGCACAATATCTGCGGGGCATAGGGATTTGCGAGGGAGCCCGTCTGTCCTATCCACCTGGAGGAGCACTGTCAGACCAGCTACACATGAAAGATCGCTGCTGGCTTTTTGCCAGTCGTCTTCTCTGGGAAGAAGTGCAACTGGCTCCTGCTCTGCATCTTGTAAGGTTAGCTCGTGGGCAACCATACCCGCTTGAATATCAAGGTGAACCTTCCGAAGCACTGCATTAAACGTGTCGATGGCAAACAAGGTCCCTGGCCTGGAGACTACTGGGGGAGCAACAAAGTCCTTGGCAGAGCACACTTGCCAGTACGAGCCTCTCTGTGTGTCATGTTCCTGGATCGGACGGGGCAGATGATGGTGGAGGTCATCCTGATTAGTGCCCAGAAGTGGTCCCTGGACCAGTTGTTGTTAAACAGCTTCCAGGAGCAAGTTCGGAATGTCCATGTTCAGGAGAGCACACTCGAGACGATCACTCTCACCTGGCAAAGACAAGGCACATTGCTTGATGGTGCCGTAGAAGGCCTGGGCAAGATCGAGGCGCAGGATCGCACACGATTTTTTTCTAGTGGCAGATCGCCTAACAAACAGTTCCTCCAACCTCCTCCTCCTCCTCCTCCTCCTCCTCCTCCATTCCTTTTCCCTATACATAATTTCTCCCTGTCGCACCCCGAGGCCAGTTTTTAGGGCAGGCCAGGCGTTTCGCCTGAGATTTCCTCACCGCTTATGACCCTGAAGCTTAAAACATGGCGACAGTTTCATCAATGGAGGGTGGGTGGTTTTCAACATGTGGCTCTCGTCTTAGCGCCGTGCGCATTCGTTTTTGAGAGATTGCAAGAGCTTCACGGATTGAGGGCGGCTCCTTTTGAACATGTGGCTCTCGCCTTAGCGCCCCGCACATTCTTTTTAAGCGTTTGCAATAGTTTCATGGATTGAAGGCGGATGGTTTCAATATGTTGCTCTCGCCTTAGCGCCACGCACATTCGTTTTGTTGTTGTGTTTGTTGTCTGTTGTTTTGTTTTGTTTAGTTTGTGTGGCTTTTTGTTTGCCAGCATTTCGAGGATTGCGGGCGATTCCTTTTCAACATGTGGATCTCGCCTTAGCGCCGCGCGCATCTGTGTTATATACGCATATAACTATATGGCGTTAACAATGCAAGGGTTTCACGGATTCCCATGAGTGATCAGAGTACAAAAGTGTTGTGGACGAATTCAGGATTATGAGGATGTAGCAGTTACATTGTTTCGCGGTGTTGACATCCCAGGAATGCTTTCTTGCACGATTCAGGATCGCTAAGACGCAACAGTCAAGCTGACCCGTTGCGTTGGACTCCAGAAAACAATGCTTTGGTACGCTTCAGGGTCTTCAAACAGTTGCCTTCAAACGAGGCAGTTCCTTCAGTGGAGATGAACCCTTGCAGGGGCCTGCGAAGAGGGAGCTTGGAGGGAGGGTTTATTCCAACATCGTTGGTGACTCTTGGGTTTACACTGGTCCTCCTCCTCCTCATCCTCCTCCTTCTCTCCTCCTCCTCCTTCTCCTCCTCCCCCTCCTCCTCCCCCCCTCCCCCCTTCCTCCCCCCTTCCCCTCCCCTTCCTTTCCCCTTCCTTCCTTCCCCCTTCCTCCCCAGTCCCTCTCCCTTTCCTCGTCCTCCGACTTCTCCTCCGCCCTCCTCTCCCCGCCCCGCCCCGCGAGGCGGAGTGACGGCGGCCAGGAGCAGACTCCGATGCAGGCGGGGATGGCCAGGAGGGCGAGGGGTCAGCAGGCTCTCCGCCGAGGTCGATCCCCTCCCCCCCAGGGCCTCGGCACCTGGGGCCGTCGCGAACGGCTCGGGGGGAGACTCGGACCCCAGGGGATCTCCCGGCCAAGGTCGATCCCCTCCCCCCAGGGGGCACTGCTCGGGCCCCGGGGCCGTCGTGAACGGCTCGTGATGGGCCTGTTTTCCACCACCACCACCATAAGTTGGAGGGGGAGGGTGCCCTCCTCCTCCTCCTCTTCGTCCTCCTCCTCTTCGTCCTCCTCCTCGTCCTCCCTCTTCCTCCCTCCAACTTATGGTGGTGGTGGTGGAAAACGCGCCCATCGGCTCGGGGTGAGACGCTGGTCCCCGGGAAAAGCCCCAGGGTCCAGCGACAAAGGCTCGCAGGGTCGCTCCAGGTGGTTCTGGGACGGCGGCTGGACCTTCCAATCTCGGGCAACGAAATCTATACATATCCACTGCTCCCTGACCATGCCCATCTTGAACCCAGGAGCTGTGTATGCGCCCTCCTGGCCAAGCCAGGAGGGCGTGGCGTATACACCGCTGCGGGGTTGAGGATGGGCCTGGCCAGGGAGCAGTGGATATGTATAGATTTCGTCGCCCTACAATCTGCGCTACACGGACTTGCGATGCCAAGGGGAGGCCACCAACCGTGTGGCCGCCGCGAGCTGGGATCTGTCGTAGACATCTGCGCAGGCATCGTGCCAAAACGATGCGACAAACCGATGTGGGTCCACATCGACTGGTGCGTGCAGCCAGCTCGCCCAACATATTGCCATGCTATCCATCATAGCCGCATGCTGTAAGAACATTTGAGCGATGCCATGGCGTAAGATCAGGTCGGGTTCCTTCCGTCCTTTTTGCGCTTTGGCCCCCTCGAGCTTCGCGTTGGGACCCGACATCTCCCAGTAATGCCGACACAACATGGCAAGGCTCCAGGTCCGATTCCAGCCCGTGCCAGGGCCACCGCGACGCAATCAAACCGCAGTGAGGGCTGGCCAATCCAGGCCTCCCATGAATCTTCTTCGTTCCTCCGCTCCCTGTCCCCGCATCGCCCAGAGTCGACCTCTTTCGCAGCCTCCCCCCGCGTCCCTGGCAGGCAGGCCAGGCTCGCTTCCTGCGTCTCTGATCTCCTGCCACGTTTTCCTTGTTTGCAACTCCTGGAATGTTAATTCAGCATCGGCGCTGGTACATCCATGGTCAAAAACCGTCCGAATCTGGTCTGGTCCCGCTTGATCTGATTTAGTCCCGCTTAGCCTGGCTTCATCCCGCTTCATCCCGCTTCATCCCGGGCTTAATCGTGCTCGATGGCCCCTGATCCTCCCCGCTGATGCCTCCCAGAAGTTGCCTCCTCAGCTGCTGCCCCTTGCCCTGCAGGCCGCAGCTTCGGCGTTGACTGCGAGCTGCGGCAGCAGCTCTGGGCGCCGCTTCTCCCCTGCATCACGGCGCCCAGAGGCGACTTCTCTCCGCCGCCATCGCGCCGCATCCCCTGGCAGGCAGTCTCGCTCATGAGTGGTCTTTGATCATTCCGGTGCGTCGCTTTTTTGACTCTGCTCGAGTGCGTTTGGTGCGACCCTGAGGTGTTCCCCCGTGAGCGTTTTATGATCGGTGCCATGACCAATACTTCTTGTTGCCCGGCCGATTGCCGTGGTTCTCACGATTATCACGCACTCGTGGTTTTGTTATTTAATCGCTTCGCTCATTCCGCCGGCCCATACGGTCTCATGTCTGCCGTTTGCCCGAGGGCCTGGTGTCAATGCGGCGCTTTGGGGGTTCCTGGGGCCGCTTGGGGGACTCCTGGGGCGCTCGGGGGGGCAATTGGGGGGCCTCCTGGGGCCGCTTGGGGGACTCTTGGGGGCCTCCTGAGGGCCTCGTGGGGGCCTTTTGGGGCCTCTTAGGGGCCTCTTGGGGCCTCGTAGGGGCTTCTTAGGGCCGAGGGCTCGAAATTTTGTTTCGTGTTCCCTCTCTGGGGCCCCTTTGGGGGTGTTCTTGGGGCCCTCTTGGACCGTCTTGGAGGCTTCTTGGGCCGTCTTCGAGCCCTCTTGGGCCATCTTGGGGCCCTCTTGGGGGCCTCTTGGGCCCTCTTGGGGCGATCTTGGGGGCCTCTGGGGCCGTCTTGGGGCGTCGGGAACCGAAAAGGTGGAAGCTCCAAAATCTCTCAAAAACCTAAGGAAAAACAATGAATTTTGCCTCCGGGGGCCCTCTTGGGAGTGCTCTTGGAGGCCTCTTGGGGCGTCTGGGGGCTATCTTGGGCGTCTTGGAGCGATCTTGTGGCATGTCGGACCCCTCGTGTACCATCTTGGAGGCCTCTTGGGGGCCTCTTGGCCTTTCTTGGGGCTCTCGGGGACGTCTCGGAGCCCTGTTGGTGCGCTCATGGAGCGCTCCTGGAGCGCTCTGGGGGACTCCTCTCGGGACTCTCTCAGAACCTTGCCGGGGTACTTTTCGTCCGGGGACCCCCAGGGGCCGCCCCGCGCGCGAGAACTAGAGAATTGTTAACCAGTTACCGGAGATCTTAGCACGCCTCTGGCCCGTTGGGCCGGCGAATTCGACGAGCGCATGGTTGTATTTGTATGAGGATTCTCAAATCCACCTGTGCCGACGCGCATGCCCGCCACTGCGTCATGCGAGGCTGCGCAGCGAGGCTGCAGCGTGGCACGCCGCTGGCGTGGCATGGCGGTCGTGAATCTTTTCGAGGGGGCCCTTCCAGGGTCCCTCGGGGGGCCTTTTGGGGGTCCTCGGGGCCGCTTGGGGGATTCCTGGGGCCGTTCGGGGGTTCGGTGCAGCACCTCTGGAAGGAAACAGCGGCGATCGGCCAGCAGAGCGGGACCTCTTTCGCACGCTCGGTGTTGACCAGGCGGTGGAACCCGTGCGCGCCGTTTATCCTTGAGATGAGCACGCAGCCAACCAGCTCGCCCTTCATGTCGCGGCTCCGGCGAATGGTTCTGGGGTCGACCCGCCGGGTCTTGGGGCGACGGGGTGAGATCCCAACGAGGCGGGTGAGATTCCCAACAGACTGGGTGAGATCCCAACGGGTAAGATAACCGGAACAGGAGATATCCCAACGTGTGGAAAACATTACGTTTAAAGTTGCTCTTGCATGAACATCTGCCCCCAAGACCGCTACACGAGGCCTGTTAGGAGGGCCCGAAGAAGCCAACATCATTAACTCTTTTGGTGAGTTTTTGAGCGGTTTGCGCGTTTTCGCCGTTTCGGGCTTCCAAGGGCCCCTGGGGTCTACGAGATGGCACTAAGACGGCCCAAGAGGCCCCTCAGTAGGGCTTCGGCATCAAAATCGCCTCTTTGGGCCCTTCTGGGGCGCTCTTAGACCGCTCTTGTGCGCTGTTGGGGCCGTCGTCTTGAGGGCCTCTTGGACCCCTCCCGGGCCTCTCTTGGGCCATTTTGGCGCCTTCTTCAGGCTTCAGAAGCGCAGCGACAGCGAAAAGGCGATAAGGCACAACTCATTCATTTTCCTCAGGTTTTAAATGATTTTGGCCTTCTGGGGTTCCTGGGAGGGGCCCTGGGAGCACTTGGAATCGTCTTGTGGCCCTCGTCGGGCCACTTTGACGTGTGTCGGGAGCTATCCTGGACGATCCTCGGCTATCTTGAGCCGCCTTGGAGGCCATCTTGGAGCATCGGCGGCCCTCTTGGCGCCATCTTAGGCAAACAAGGACCCTCTGCCACCTCGCGCCCCCCACCAAAAAACCTCAGGGAGGGAAGGGTGCGGGTACCCGTCCCCGAAGGGAAGATGGTTTTGGAAGAGGAAAGACATGTATCCTTAGATTACCTGCGCTCAAAGGGCTGGTGGGATGTGGGACCTGGGCGTCTTAAAATACGTTCAGAATTGAGGACTGAGACTCATGGGATTGAGAAAGGGACCTGAGGACATTCCAACTCGTGCCTCGCAGGCACGGCCTTGCCCTGCCGCCGCCCCTGAGGGTCCAGCGGCTCCCCTTCTCTGCCTGGCCCGGCGTTCGCCCGCCGGGGCAACCATCGAATGGCCGTGCGGCTTGTCTTGCCCCGCCCGCGACGCTCAAACGTGTCTGTGTGTCTGTGGGATCCGAAGCAGTTCTGAGGGCCTGGCCGCGGCTCCGCGTTCCGTACCTGCCTTGTTTCCGCCTCGTCGCTGCGCGCGGGGCCGCTACCGCCAAAAAGTAAGTGTGTGTGTGTGCGCGCGCGCGCGCGCGTGTGTGTGTGTGTGTGTGCGCGGGTATCATTGCCAGAGCCATGACGCATCCCAGATTTCGTGGCCCCCCTCCCATTCTCTCAGGACGTGTCCTGGCCCCCTCTCCTCTGCACACGTGCCTCGGCCTCCGGCGCGCCCGATCCTCTGCCGGGCTCCCTTCAGGAGTACACCATCCACTCCTGGCGAGAAGGGGATTCCGACAGCATGCTCGCAAGCGGCGGCCTCGCGGCCAGCAGGCGTCTGCCTCTCTTCGAGATTGAGAAACGTGCGGGGAATTCAGAAATCGCTTCGCCTTCGAGGATCGAAGAGGTCAGAATCTCTTCTTCGGCGGAACGCGGCGGAGCGTCGGCGGAAGCCGGCGGAAGTAAGACGAGGGTGGTTCCGCCTGCGGAAGGCACCGGAAGGCCGGCGGAAGCCAGCGGAAGTAAGACATGCACCCCCAAATATTACAGCATTTTTGGGTTCAGGGTTTCCAGAACCAGCCATACCATGGCAATCATCACAAGCATGCTGACTTATTTCGTATGCCGTCCTTTATCTTTTTATACTCTGTCTGTGTGTTCCCCTCTCTTGCGCATGGGCGTGATATGCTTCAGTAGTTGGGTGCTGGCCAGCATGTGTTGCTTCCCCACCCCAGCGTTTTCCCTTCGATGTGTAGTTCTCTTGTTTCGATCGCAGTAGTTGTCTTGCGTGTCTCGTTGCAGATGGTGCTGTTGGAGCTGTCGTGTCTGAAGAAACATGTTGTAGATCCCCCTCGCCAGCGCGCCTTGTTTTTGATTTGAAGTGCGCACCTCGTTTTTTTCATGGTGTTTTTTTCCTGTTAGGCTTCGCCCCCTGCCGCCGGTTCCCCCTCTCTCATAATGGGATACATCAGAGTCGCGTCGGTGCGTCTCGGCGCTGCCTTGGCACATCTGGGACCATCATCGCGTATTGAGACGTTGGCGTAATCGAAGACGCCTACGGCGAATCACCGCCGCCCCCTGCCCGTGTGGAAGCGCCTATGTGGCCTCTTGGGCCGTCTCGGGCCATCTTCAGGCCATCTTAGGCCGTTTTTGGTGCATCTTGGGCCGTCTTGGAGGCATCTTGGGGCCATCTGAGCCGTCTTGGAGGCCTTCTTGGTCGTCTTGGAGGCCTCTTGGGGCCCTATTGGGGCCGTCTTGGGAGCCTCTTGGGCCGTCATGGGGCCATCTTGGATGCCTCGTGGGTGATCTTGGAGCGATCTTGGGGGCCTCTTGAGCCGTCTTGAGCCGTCGGAATGCCGAGAAGAAGCAAATGCCAAAATCCTTCAAAAACTTAAGGAACATCAATGAATTTGGCCTCTTCGGGCCCTCCTGGAGGACCTCTTGGAGGCCTCTTGGGCCGTCTTGGAGGCTGATCAGCGCTCCCGCTTGATAGCCCTTCGCCTTTTACACAGGAATGGCGCTCGCGCCTTGGCGCTCGGCCACCTGCAACAACGAGGCTCCTGCTCGATACGTCCGAGTGATTATCTTAAGAATGCGTCCCTCGTTTCGGCATCACCTCTGGAGGGCTTCCAGGCGGCCTAAGGAGGGTTCCGGAAAGGCTCCTGCAGAGGCGCCGCAGGGGTCCCAGAGAGGCGCCAATAAACTTCCAAGGCCGCCCCAAGAGGCCCTCGGACGGCCCAAGCAGGCCCCAAGACGGCCCAATAGGCCGCCAAGACGGCCCAACGGAGGTACAAACTATTTGAATTGAAGGTGGTAAGGTGTCTCGTAAGGTCTTGGCAAAAAGAGTCAGGGCGGGAGATCTGGGTAAGGGAATATCGGCCCCCGATGAGTGAAAGGAATCCCCCATGAAGGGGTAGCTATCATGATGAATGTCCGTTGCATATAACATCAGTGAGTCTCCAGGTAAAATGATTGCTGTTGTTCTCTCTCTCTCTCTTTCGCTTCTGGTCTCTGTATACGTCTCTGTGTCTCTTTGTTTTTGCCTGCCTGTCAGCCTGTCAGCCTGTCTGCCTGTCTGTCTGTCCGTCCGTCGGTCTGTATGTCTGTCTGTGTCTGTCTGTTTGTCTGTCTGTGTGTCTGTCTGTCCGTCCGTCCGTCCGTCCGTCTGTCTGTCTGTCTGTCTGTCTGTGTGTCTTTCTCTTTCCCTCTCTCTACGTATCCCTCTCTCTCTCGCTCTCTCTCTCTCTCTTTTCCTCTTTCTTCCTCTCTCCCTCTGTCATCCTTGTTTTGGTTTTCTCTCTCTCTCGCTCTCTCTCTCTCTCTCTCTCTCTCTCTCTCTCTCTTTGTATATATATATACACCTCCCTCTCGCTCTCTCTCTCTCTCTCTCATTTTTATTGTCTCTCTCTCTCTCTCTTCCTCTCTCTCTCGCTCTCTC